GACGTCGCTTCCATTTCGTTCATTCTGACCCGATGCCTTGTCTGCCGTTCGGGTGGATACTGTAGATCTTGTCCTGCGGGGTGCTTTAGTTTTCCTCGTTACAGAGAAAGAGGCTCGAACGAGGGCTGTACTACGTACTCTGTTTGGGCAAGATTTTGATGGCATTCGTCCTTTGCAGTAAATATGCGTGAAGTTGTCAATTTTCCTGCGAAGTGCACTTTGTTGAATACGTACTTGAGCGTTAGAGGGTTGTGGACCGCCTGTTTCGGCTGAATGGATCCAACCAACAGATATGATGCTGCCAACCGACGGCGGTTCCAGGGGACGGGATCATGGAATTTTAGGCAGAAGATCCACAATTCGATCACTAGGTAATTTCCTTCGGGGCTTGCACGATAACTAGACTACATCATATCAATTGGAGGCAGACAAAAGTAGAGCGTAGAATATAATATGATAATATAGATCGATTTAGGAAATTATTACCTTGGGTAGATCATCAATCAGCTCGAGGGGGATCGACCATAGTTGGACGTTTGATGATGATAAGGATAGGTAACATTGTAGAATAGCACCGTAGGAATGAAACTTATTTCTAGTGTTCTACGTTCTCCTGTGATCCCACAGAACCGCTCTAGTAGTGGACAAAGGAGAAGTGGCAAACGCAATCAGACTGTGTCTTTCAGACCTGTGATCTATCAACATGTCGTGGACTTCGTACCTCTCCGTTTTCCCGAAGACGAGATGATTCTTTCTCACCGGTCTGATGGGTTAGGGATTTTCTCAAAGGATTCAGTTCCAGACACGGAGCTTGGCTTTATGTGCTCAATTGCGTCTTCAGTATGGCGCCCAACACTTCTGAGTGCGCAGTAGAGCTTTGACCGGGCTATCATTGCTCGTTAAGCGAGGGGGGCATTCATTGCACTACTCCGTATCGAGGTGCAAAATATTTACCTGTCAAGTGATCCTGAATAAAACTCTGGAAACACTGACTGCTACAAGTACAACATTCAAAATCTACATTTGCTTTGTGGAGAGAGAGGAACACCCCTGTTCCGCACCTCAGTTCCACTTCCAGACGGGATGTTGTTTGCCGAGCGTAACCCGAGATCTGAGATGGAGCCAATCCCGCGGTGTACCACAACCACAACGACTGCCAGAACGCGTGACACCCGTTCCCGTAACTTACCGTCTCTTCTCTTCCTGTGGTTGGGAAAGAGTGGTTGTGCCTGAAAATGCGGACGGAACCAGGGGACAGCTGGCATTTTATTTTGGCCTGGTTGCAGCGCGCCAAATCATAAATGGAGGGGATGATTCTGCTCCGTATGGCAAGTATAGATGGTGGTATGGATCTGGAAAACGATGCTGTGTAGGCACTTGGCGCTCCATACGACAACATCAGGACTCTACTGCTGCAGCCACAGAGCAACCTGATGATTCTCACCGTCTTCTGCGTGGGGCATTTATGCAGCACACTTTCAGGGTCGCATCATGCATTCCTTCTCTCCTGTTGTGGGGAGCCCCTCCCCCTTGGCTCGATCAGTGCCAGTATCCATGTGAGTATGAGTATCCATCAGAATCTTTTGCCTATCAAGTCGAATGCTTCTTAGAATACCTGGGATGGCTGTGGATATCCACCTCCGGTTTCTGAAGCAATCGCTCCATGAAGATGTAGTTTAGACTTCAAGATTGAGTTTTACAGGGCGATGGAGACGAAAATAGGGAGCCCCCTTGCTAATCAATAATAGTCAAAGTGACTGACCGCCAAAATGACATGGAAACGAAGATGCTAAGGTAGCTAGTAATGATCATTTGATTTGGATGGTAAGTGGCAGTTCTGCTGTCCAGTCAGATCATCATCCATTAGCACACTTGGGAGGAGGATGTCGACCATTCGATCCGTGGCTCCATCAGTGTCTACCCCGAGTCCCCTCCATTCCCGGTCTGATCTCTTAAACAATGTTTGATTTTGGCTGATAGTCATACCTTGCTGATCAAGAAATAAAAATGATTAAAGGCAATGGTGAGCAAGTCATGGGTATCCACGGAGTATAGTCGGGAATTACCCAATTGTGTGTCTAGTGTCCACTACTGATAGATTCCGCCCCCTCCGAAACTTGGGTATCAACAACGGAACCCGTTTACCTTAGGTATCTACCTACGCTCTAGCCTATACTTTCCTCTGTCGACCTCATCCCAGACAGTCGGTTAGGAATAAGATTTGCTCTCCAAACTCAATGCCGATAATCATGTATCAACGATACCAAAAATGAAGAGCGGTCGTCAAACGGTGTGGGAACATTGCCATTCCCATCCTTCGTCCTCTTTACTCCATATTTTTTCTACTGTCCATGTGGCATATTTCGGACAGCTCATGGAGCTACACCCTAAATAGTGGCGGACCCTCAACTACAAAATAGGAAATTGAAAGAAACTCAGATTCAGAAAACATTGCGGAAACGCTAATCGTTATCTATTTGCAGCCTATTCAGGAGGCTCAGAATGAGCAGATCGATATGGAGTACGGAGTTTCCCCAATGCTTCTGGTGAAAAATGAATTAGAATTATTATTATTATATTATTATTACGTCCCTTCAGCCCGTCCATGATCCCGCACATCAGCAGACAGCTTTGCTCCATAGATTTGGTTATTCCACTAATATTAGTTTCGTTAGGCTCCACTTCGTAGTAGTAGGTATTTGCATTCCCATACTATTTATTTATTATCATGATAATTCTATGGTTTTTTTTTGTTATTTTACATTTTATTTTATTTTTATTTTTTTTCCCCAGTGTAGCAGTCAAATACCTCAGGAGAGCAGAAACCGAGACACCTCCAGAGCTGGAGGCGTAAAATAATGAGGAACCCCAACAAGGACCAAAAACGATCTGTCAATTCTGGTGGCTTGTGTTAATACATGCGAACCAGGATCCTGGCTTAGGTTACAAGTAACAAGACCCAGTCAAGTCAGAAGGACGCGCGCGTCAAAAACCGAAAAGAAAAGAAAAAGCAACAGAAGATCGAAGAAAGAAGAGGCACGCAGAAAAGTGTGCCTTTCTACCTCCGTATTTCTTTTGATTTAGTACAGAGTCAGAGGTTCATTATTATCCATTTACCTCAGGTACCTATCTACTTACTGACATTCCCTCCACTAAAAAGAGAACCTGAGCCAACCGAATCAAAGGAGAAAGGTACAGCTACTAAGGTAACTGCTATCAAGGAGGGGCATTTTCTGGCATCCTTCTATGCCATCTCCTCATCAGTCTCGTCAGTACCAGGAGCACCAACAGCAATCTCGACGGTCAGATCTGCTTTTTCTGATCGCTTTCCTTCGATCTCTCAGTCGGAAATCCACGATATTCACCTTACACTAAACAGGCTGTTACTGCCCTTCCATGGTGACAGCGTGGAACTATTGAACAGTCAACAACACAGCCGACATTTCCAACCCCCTCCTTCTATCTTGATCACGGGAATTATCGATCCTTCATCCTCACTTCCCACCCTTAATAATCATATTTCCGCCCCTCGAGTCTCCAACTCCTGCTCCATCAACCGGCCTGCCCTTTTGGGGCCATCTCCGCGTTTCTTGAGCGTTAATACCGTTACCCATTACCGTTTGATAAAAAAATTTGAGGTGATTGTTACTATTATTCGACATTATTATTATTTACTATTATTACCTTATTATTTTCCTGGAGCTCACCGTTCCCGACACCTCAAGGTCTGCGACCATTTGCTCGATCGACTGTTTGACACACCCAGGGCGACCCGACAGCTTGGCTTACCTACGTTAGCTAACAGCTATCTATCTCCCGAAGGATCGGAGTGTGAAAAGGCAAACCTCTGGCGTATCCATCCTATTTGAATTATCCTTTCTGGATGGATACCTAGTCTATTCTTGTGTAAGTGTCCCACGATCCCATCATCATTTTGTCTCAATTTTCCCGTCCTTTTTGCCTATTTGCTTCTCTTCGTTTCTCTTCATCCACACTCCATTTCATTTCAACGAGGTGGGTTGTTTCTGTCGTTATCACCATCGTACTACCTTACCATCTTCCATTCCTTACTCGCTTTTGGACTGTGCCAGATGGATCCATGAAGTTGCCGATCTGTGCCTTTTCTTCTTTTCCCCTTCTTTTCCCTTTTCGAAGCAGAGACTGCGTGATTTCTGTATATTAATGATGCCACCACATGTACCCCCAACCCTCAACCCTGGTCAGCTCTATCTGAAGCTACTAAAAAAGTACCTTCCCCTGCCAACAACTTACCAGGGTCAAGTGCCCACTGCAATTAGTGTCGGCGCAGATCTCTTGCTCTTCCCTCTTCCCCCCGTTGCACTATAACAGGCTTGGTACCTTTGAACGGTCCGCTACTGTGCATCCGCTTTGCTTTTGCTGTCCATTCCTGCTATCCTTACCATCTCCTTGGGTATCCCGTTGCATTAGCCTTCCTTCGTCCTCTGGCTGCTCAATTGTCGTTGCTTCGATCATTTTCTTGTCTAATTCTTGCTTCATTTCTTAATTATCTCCTAGTTAACGGATTGCTTGCTCTTCCTGGATAGCTATCGGAAAGCTATTTCACCGTGCCTTGCGCGTTGGTAACTGCCATCGCCCGTCAATCAATACATCCCCCAAACTGCACCTCTAACCGTTCGATTGTATCGTTCGGAGCTACTGGTCGCAAACGTTTCAGAGGAACACATCGATCTTAAAGAGGGACGGAGAGAAAAAAAAATAGAAGTGCGAAAAGCAACGCAGACTATCGAGAGCTAAAAGAATTGACCGGCTGAATTACCTCTTTCGGGAAGCTCTTGAGCTTTGTCCAACTCTCACTATCCCTCCACCCCACCCGCTCACTTGACATTGCACATTGTGATTTCTGCAGGACTGCAACATGTCCTCATGACTGTATGACTGTCGCACTGAACAGACCGTTCGTAGCGGATTTACGGCAACCTGGAGTCACCGGCCGGAGGTGCGGACCTACCATTGTCGAAATGATTGGAACGGACGATAAACCACATTCGCTCCCTCCTTACTCCGGCCCTCCTCCCCCTCCTCAAATGCATCATCGCATTCCTCCTGAGGCCGCGCATGGCCTGGCAAATGCGCCGGGAGCATACGATCAGCCATGGCGCCCCTACCCGCCGTCCTTCGAGCATCATCACGCGGAGCAGCGACGGGCCTCCAATCCCCCCCAACCTTCCCTGCCCTCCCACGGGTATTCTGTCATGCCGAATCGAGAGTTGCCTCAGCTACCTCCCGACGGGCCGTATGGTCGGCCAAATAGTTTGCCTGCTCCCAGTCTCACCCCGACAGAATCGCATCCGCCGACTTTCCGTCCTATGAATGGAGCTTCGCATGATTCCATCCCCCATTCGACACCGACCCATCCAGCTCCTCCCCCTCAGTCGGCCCCCCCCGACTTTCGTCCGCGGATGACATATCCCCCTCAAGAACAGAGCAGTAATGGCGATGGGCCCCCTCCCCCTCCTCCAGCTCCACATACGATGCCTCCAACCCAGTTTCCGACGCAAGTCCCGCATATTTCACATACCCCTGCTCCGTATGAGCCGAACTATTACCAGAATCAAGCCTTTGGTATGCGTCAGCGCAAGGCTGCCCGGGCCCAACAGGTAATGACTGCCTTTTTTTCCATGGCGCAGAAAACGAGACCTCGCCCGATACATGAAAATAGACTAACTTTACGTTCTTACATAATATAAAAAGGCCTGCGACCAGTGTAGAGCAAGAAAGGCAAAGTGCGACGAAGGGCGGCCTGCCTGCAGCCACTGCAAGGAGAACAATTTGATATGTGTCTACAAAGAAGTTCCCCCCCACAAGTGCGTGACCTGCCTGATCTCGGTCCTTCGGTTGGTTGCTTGTTGGATACTGACCCTCAAGCTAGACAGGAAAAGGCCACCCAGCAGATCTTGGACAAGATACAATATCTGGAAGATAAGCTCGACGAGCGTCTGACGCATTTTCAAACTGTACAGATGGAACATGGGATGCAGCTTAATAAAATTTCCAATGAGGTCGGGTTGAAAGAGCCAAAAATTTTGGCTGTCAAAGATGCCACGCGATCAATGCCACCTAAGCAGACACTTGATAGATTGCTGAAACCAAGTGCTGCTGATCTTTTGCTTGAGTCAGAATCAAAGAATGGAGAGGGAATGCAGCAGTTGGATTCAAATGACCCCCCAGGGCAGAGTTATGTGGAAAGGGAGGACGGTGAGCTGTCCATCCCCGTGGAACATACAACAGCTGCCCACAAGTTGCTGTCCTGGCCATCGATCAGGAATCTACTGTATCCCCGCGAGTACGACGAAGATTATGTGATGAAGCTTGAAGAGCGACGTGGCTTGATTCGCGTCTATGGCCGAGGTGAGGGCGACGACACAAGTGAGGATCGCATGTCGCCAGCCCCATTGACTAGTTCGAATTCCAGCAGCGGATGGGATGATACTCATGCTCACCGAGCATCGCCGAGTAGTCCTTGGACGCAGAGCGCTCATCCCAGCGGTTTCCCGCAGAAGCTTCGAGACAAGGGGGTTGATGAGTTTGGTACTCTGTGGGCCGATCCAGACACCGTCCGTCGATATCATCGCAGTTATCTGGAGCACATACACAAACTTCATCCCTTCCTCGACCAGGGGGACCTAGATAAGAAGATCGAAATGTTCATTAAGTTCCATTGCTTACCGAAGACTTCCGGATCAACGCCTACAGGGACTGGCGACCTCCCAAGGGGTGCAAAAAGAAAAAGGTCATGTGAGACTTTGCAAGGTGCGGCGTGTGATTTTCCAACTTCCGCTGGCATTAGGACAGAAGCGACGAGCCGTCGCATTGAAAAGTCAATCGACAATGCTGTTCTCCTTCTCGTGCTTGCGCTGGGCAGCATCTGCGAAGTGGGAGCACCAGTCCCTGGTCCTGTCACTGATAACCCCCCGGATTTTCGCAAAGAGTGGATCCCTGGGCCGCCCACGCGTAGCATCCTATCTCCCGCTGGATCTGACATGATCGTTCCAGCGCAGGGGAGCTTCTACGCACCCCACGCTGTCCCGTCTCCCTCGCCTGTTGACGGCCGGAGAAGTGTCGGAGGCCGGTCAGCGTCATCAGGCCGAGAGGTGCCTGCCAATCGACATCTCAGAAACGTCGATGTCATCCCGGGTTTATCTTATTATGCATATGCCACGCAGATCCTTGGAGGCCTCCAAGGGGCCAATGGTTTGCTTCATGTTCAAGCGGCTTTGCTCGCGGGACTTTACGCCGGCCAACTAGCGCATCCTTTCCAGAGTCATGGGTGGATATACCAAGCCGCTCGCGCTTGCCAAGTACTCATTCGATCGTAAGCCTTTGTCCAAAGCTGAACTGAACCCTCAAGGTGGCTTGCTGACGGCAGTACCAGGAAACGCTATGACCAGATGCAGGATGGCCCTCTGAAAGACCTCTACGATTTCGCGTATTGGACATGTCTTCAGCTTGAGAGGTATGCTTGTAATGGTGTTACTGTCAGATCTAGCCTGCGGGCCCAACTAACTCAGAACGTAGTGATATTCTTGCAGAGCTTGATCTCCCTGCCAGTGGCATTTCTCGTGCAGAGTCACGTATAGGTCTACCAAAGGGACGCTTCACACTTGCTTTGCCAAATGAGATCTGCGCGCCTAGTACCATGATGATGTTTTTCTATTCTGCCCAAATCCACCTCCGGAAAGTCCTTAACCGTGTCCACACTGATCTGTACAAAGTTGAGAGTAAGGCATCCAAGGCCATGTCACCAGGAAAAGCGCTAATTATACCTCTATAGGACAACAAGGCTCGAACAATGCAAACCCGGGCAGCGCCACTAATGCCGCTGGTTCTGCAAGCGCTGTCAACGCTGCAATCGCTGCAATCACAGCTAATCCTTCCAGCAATACTACAACCACGAACAGCTCGAGCAACAACCGGTGGACCTCAAACGTGCAGGAAATTCTTAGCATGAATCTCGAACTGTGGCGAAATAGTCTTCCAGAGATCATGAAGTGGAAAGACACTGATCCCCCCTCGAATGACATAAATGTTGCTCGCATGCGGGCCAAATATTACGGCGCGCGATACATCATCCATCGTCCTCTTCTATATCATGCTCTGCATTTTGCTGGACTCCCCAATCCCAATCCAACCTCCGCATCAGTTGAGTCACCCGCCGGGTCCGTTCTCTCTGGCCCGAAATCTCAGCAGGTTTCGCCCTCGTTACCGCACAGTCAACGGGCTTCAAACATGGCACGTCTGTCGAGCGATATGGGCATAGCAGTCCATAGCGCTCCCCCTTCCTTCCAAGGAGGCTCGATGGGCACCATTGCATACCGAGACCTTCCGCCTAAGCTACGACGAGCCTGCAAAGTATGCATCGATTCTGCAATCCTGAGTACAGAGGCCTTTGATGGAATCGAAGGTCGTCCGATCGTGACAAATATCTTTGGAACTGCTCATGCGCAATTCGGCAATATGCTCGTGCTGTCTGCGACCTACATGTCGTGTCTCTCAGAGCTGGTGGACCGAAATGTGCTGGAGAAACTTCTCAAGCGAACAATTAGATTCCTGTTGCAGAGCCGATATATCTCCCCTAGTCTTCGAGCCGACGCACGGATCCTCACCGAAATCTATGAGAAGATTTTCGGAGAGCCCGCCACGAGTTTCTCATCCGCCTATAGCTAGGCTCATACCGCTTCCCGTCTCGCTGCCCCTGGGGGAAACTGTCTAAGAACGTCCCCTGCACGGTATTCCCGCGGGTCGCCTGAAAAGGTAAACCTCACCAAAATGAGTCTTCTACAGACACCAGCTATCCAATTATACCGATCCTTCAAATCTATTTTCTTTTCTAGGACATACTCGACTCGAACCTCTCTTCCTCCCCTCTTTTGTCCATGCTCTTTTCTTCGACCCTTGACTCCCTTGCATATACTGATGCCTGACATGGCATGGTTCATATATAACATACATACATAGGTGTCTTGTACGGTGGTTCTTTGTTTTATCATCATTCATTCTTGGGCAGGGCTTCAACATATTGGGTTATTCTTTTTGATGTAATTTGCTGCGCATTGGGAACGGATGGGTGGCTACCTGGAATTATTCTGATCATACCGGCATCATCTAGCCTCGGACCTTTTTTTGTTTGGTTTGATACCTTGTTCGTCCTTGTTGTTCAAACGGCGCTGGTTACACCTTACCATTGTGACTGGGATTGTGTACCTGTGGGAGGTATCGTGTCGTTGCATTTTCCGCGAAGCAGGGATGGTCGCTGACAGACCTGGCTACCTACATTATTGGACAGATGGACGGCCGAATATTGCATGCGAAATTGCTTAAGTCTAACAGATGACTGTCCCCAGTTGCTGGGGATGGAAGTGATGGTGTGTGATACCATATTTTGGTGTAACTGGGTCATTGTTTTCATTATAAGCGTTCAAGATAGGACCTGTTTGTCGAATGGCGTACGTTACTCATTCCCAATAAAGACTTGCATTTCATCGTCGTGCGTGATGCACAACAGTGACAGTGGTATGACTGTAGAGATGACGGAGAGCCTTGTTCCTGCTTGGAGGCTATCTAGGTTTTACTCGTACAACGCAGAAATCGGCAAGGAGAAAAATATCCGTGAATGAGTGAATGACCAGTGAATTGCACCCATTATATCCGTCAATTGTAGGACAAACATATCATGAATGCTGAATATCTAGCCTTAGCATTAGCCCGCCAATGAATAGGGCAGCATTGGCGAGGGACCTTAGAGCCCACCTCGGCTGCTTCTGAAGCTTTCCCCGCGGTCCCTTGCTTGGACAATCAGCGCCACCCCTCATGCTCGCCTATATACGCAGATCACTCATTAAGGAGGTCATGCTCGAGATCAAAGGCTCCAAGGGGCCATCGTCCAGCATAACCTGATTATTAGATGGTCTGCATCTTGGAATTGGAAAAAAAAAGCACTTTCATTGATTTCCACCATGGTGACAAAACGAAAGTGGCTCTCACGCGAAGGTTGGTCTAATTGCTTCATACCCAAATGTCAACTATCTAAAAGAGCGTGTTCTCTCGGAGGATAGGGTTCACGGCCGATGTTCTCGGTAAATTGATTCAGAGCACGCTTCTGAGCCCCTGGAAGTCGCTCCCTCTCCTGCTGCTGGCTCAGTACACCGCGAAGGGCCAGCAACTCGCCCTCGAGCATCCGCGATTCTTCCAGGTCCTTTGGCTCCTCACCTTCCTCGCCGTCCTCCGCCGTGTTAACGCATGCCTTAACACCCGGACCCTGAACAATGGCGTCTCGGACAGGTTCGACTGGAATCGCGAGGTGGTTGTGCTGACGGGTGGCAGCAACGGGATAGGCAGACGGATCGCGCAGCTGCTCGGCGGCCGCGGCATCAAGGTCGCCCTTCTAGACATCCACCCACCACAGGAGGACCAGGACCGCCTTCCGCCCACCGTCCGCTTCCACAAATGCGACATCACCTCGCCCTCGGCCATCGCGGCCGTCGCCACCGACATCCGCGCAACCCTAGGCGATCCCACCGTCCTCATCAACAACGCCGGCGTCTGCAGCGGCAAGACCATCCTTGGCGGCACAGAGGCGGAGACCCGCGTCCAGTTCGAGGTCAACACCCTCGCGCACTACTGGCTTGCGCGTGAGTTTCTGCCGCACATGGTCAAACGCGACCACGGCCTGGTCGCCACCGTTGCCTCGCTGGCGGGATACATCACCACCCCCAATATGGTCGATTACTCCGCCACCAAGGCCGCGGCGATTTCGTTCCACGAGGGGCTGGCGGTGGAGTTGGTGACGAGGTACAATGCCCCGCGGGTGCGGACTGTGCTGCTCACGCCGGGATTCACGCAGACGACGCTCATTGGGCGGTTAACTCCTGAGGATACGTGGTACAACCCGCTGCTGAAGCCGGAGACGGTCGCGGAGCAGTTGGTGAGACAGATCCTGACAGGGAATAGTGGGCATGTTGTTGTGCCGGGTTCCTCAGGGTGGCTTGCCCGGAACCTGAGGAGCTTTCCGCCTTGGTTCCAGCATTCGCTGAGGTCGCGGTTGGAGAGATTGATGCGCGCTGATTAGAGTTTGATTGCTCGGTTTGACTTGGTTGAACCTGGTTGGTGCTTGGACTGTTTGCTTTTTTGTTTTCCAGCTGATGCTGTCTAGTCCCGAGGGAGAAATTTTTAAGTAATCAGTGCGCGACTACTGGCTGGACAAGGAGTGCTTTAGCATCGTGCTTTTTAGGGAACAAGTCGGTGACCAGCTATGGAGAGGCCTCAAAATGGACACCTGAGGCAGATATACAGTCCTAAGTTCTGGTAGCCACAAACCTCGAGTGATTATGATGATTGTACCTACTGAACAGGGCGGAGAAATGACACACAGAAGGATTGATTAGGCTCAACCATAGCAATCTCCAATCAGTAAATAAATCGTCCTATACAATCCTCTGTATCTTCACATTAATGTGGAGAAAATTCATCACCAGCCTCCTAGCCTAAGGCTACCATATTCTTGTGGTCCTCGTTGCTGCTCGGCACGTGCAGCCAACCAGCCTCCCCAGCCTCACCGCGATTTCGTCGGCTCTCTCACCTTTCGATCGAGCCCTGCGGGCATTCATTGCCTTTCCAGACGTATACACGTTCAGGGGAATTTTCATCCAGTCATCATCTTTGGATGAATCCTAATTATCATCTGCATCAATTCGGCTCCCCCACATTTTTACTTTCATCCTCATTCTGTCTAACTTCATTATCATCCTCATTATTGTTCCTCCTCGGATACTCTAAGCCACTACAGATCTGAACCGTGCTCTCGCGGCCTTAGGCGCTAACCGCCCACTGGATCGCCTTGGCGGCCGATTCTCTGGAGCAACCACCCTTAGCAGCAAAGCTGACCCAGCGCTATCATCCGAGCGGTTCAGGCTGGGGCTGCCGACGAAAAAGAACCACGGCTCAGCTCCGTCGTTGTCCTTGTTTACCTTGCGAAAAACAACAATCCATTATCCGTTCGATAGGTTCTCCTCTCGAGCTGGGACTGAGCGACCTTTTTGTTTCCACGCTGTTCATGCCATCGTTCTTTAGCATCACGAATCACGAATTTGCTTTAGTCCCTCGCTGAATACCCAATTAATCTATTGATTTAATTTACGCTTTGGATTGATTGACTTAGTGCACCATTACGACAATTGTTATTCTTTTCCACTCTCGCCAGTCGACCAGCCACCAGCTCCGCCTTGAACCATCGAAGCATTCCCAGTCTCAACATTCCGATTCCCACATGGTTGTCTGAGCCGCAAGGAGCATCGTATTGATCGCTCTTTTCAGCCCACCATGTTCAGGGCCCTGATGGGCGGGGGCCGTTCCTCCGATGCCCGCAGCACAACCTCCAGCTCCAAGAGCAGTAGCCGCCGCCGAACCAACTCCAAGGCTTCTTCGACGGTCAGCCGCAAGTCCTCACGGGGTGACGACCGTGATCGTGGCTTAGGCGACTTGTCGACCTACTCTTCCTCAGGCAGCCGCAGCAAGCAATACGCTCCTAGCGCAGCGGGCGATTCTGTCGCTTCGAGCTATGCGACGGCAGAACCGCGCATGTCGGTCGAGCACGATCGGATTATTATTGAACGGACACCCAAACGCAGAGATACCGATGAAGAAAGCGGTCGCGATAGATTTTCTGATATTCGCGACAGGGATGGGCGCAGTTCTCGCAGACGCGACCGGGACCGATCGCAGAGTCGTGAGCGTGAACGGCCGCGGTCGGAGAGGAACGAGCGGGCGCAACTGGAAGATGACGCTGTAGACCCTCACGACCGTCGTCGGGAAAGGTCACGGACTCAGTCCGGCGATACGTATTTGCCGCCTGTTTCCACATCGATGCCCATTCAGCCAAATTCCCACATGGTCTACGACCCCCATATCCAGCAGCAGTTCCCAGGTCAGTTCCCTACTTATGTTGCTGAGCCATATCGGCCTCCGAATCCCGCCGGCGAAGCAGCCGATTACTATGGTGATCAGGGACAGTCTGTTGCGGAGCAGCCAGGTGTGCGCCCGAAACCTCCATCCATCATTCCCAACAGCCAGGCGCATCTCATGACTGCGTCACCTACCGCCAATCCACCACCGGAGCCGAGCAGCATGGGCCAGGTGGGCGCAGCAGCTGCATACTTCGCAGACGCCGACCTAGAGGTGGTTCCAGCGCCAGGACGACCGGATCGTCCAACTGCTGGCGCAACGTCCAAGCCGCCCAAGCCATCTAACGCTACGTTTGGCATTCCGGGGATGGCTGCTGCTGCTGCTGCCTATGGAGCAGGAAGCAGTTTTCCCTTGCCGGCCAGCCCGACATCGCCTCCGGAACCTGTTGCAACGGCTGCTCCCTATGCCCCTCCTGTGACATCCAGCACCTCCAAACCGCCGCATAACCATGGTATCGGAGCCTCGGTTGGAGCGGCAGCCGCGGGTGCTGCAGCGGGTTACATGCTTGGCCACCACCAGCACCATTCGATGTCGAACACCGACCATCTATCCCAGTATACCATGCAGAATTACGACGAATCTTCCCAGCATGGGTTCGGAAACCCAGGTCCGACAATCCATAATGCACCCGCCAATTCAGCGTGGTACGCTGCTGGAACAGGAGCAGCCTTGCCGTATGCTGCAAGCCCTCTGCATCCCCACCATGCTGCTGTCCACCACGGGGCTCCCTTCCCTTCGGGCAACTTGGCATTTCAACAGCGCCAACGTGGTCCGCTTGACAAGTTCATCGACTTTTGGCGTGATCCGGAGGGTGTTGGTATGTTTGAAGACTATACGGAAGCCATAGGCGTCTGCAAATACTGCTTCGAACCCGGCACTTCCTCGCGTGATGCACCTCGTAAACATCACTATCGCCCACGTCGTTCGTCCGGCGAGCGCTATAGCGGTGGCTCGCGGGTGGGAAAGGCAAGTCGCTATACATCCTCCGAGGATGAAAGTCGCCGACGGAAGAAGTCATCGCGGAGTTCCTGGCTGCTGCCTGGACTGTTTGGTGGAATTGCGGCCAAATCGCTTTTCAACAACAAGGATTTTGAGGACACCTATAGCGTCCGTTCGGGCCGAGTAATGACCATCAACGACACCGAAAGTGTCTCAACCACACGACGGAGCCAGACCTCGCGTGGCGTCTATAGGCGTCGCAGCCAGTCTCGAGACCGCGAGTCCCGCATCAATTACTTAGACTCGAAGAAGAGCCAAATTGAGGGTGGACGACACCGTTCTCGGTCCCGATCCCGTTCGTCCTCCCGAAATGGCCGCCATTCAGCGCTCAGGGATGCAGCCCTAGGTGCTGCAGTGGGCTCAGGAGCTTTGGCTTTGGCCAAGTCCCGTCATCGAAGCCGCAGTCGCAGCCGCAGTCGATCACCCAGAAAGGCAAAAGGGAGAAAGTCGTCAAATTCTGACTCTTCCTCTTTTCTTGATATCTCCCAACCTGCTCGAAAGTCCGTTGGCGGTGGCATTGCTTCGTTCTTCACGGCTTCCTCTGAAAACCGTAGCAAGCGCCGAGTCAAAAAACGCAGGAGTATCTTTTCATTCAACAACTCATCCTCTTCTTCGCTTGATGCGGACTTGGCATTCGGCGCCGGATTCGCGCGAAAACCGGCTGGCAAGTCGAACAAGAAGAGCACTAAGAAGAAGGACCGTGACGTAGACGCAGCTTTGCTGGGATTAGGCGCTGCGGCCACCGCATTAGCTGCTACATCTCATCGACGAAGTCGGCGGACCGGAGAGATTCTCGCGGCCAAGGAGACGCGGTCGCGACACTCGGATTACGCATCATCCGTCACTAACGATGAGGGCTGGGAAGATCTGGACTCAGGGGACCAGTCGTCCTCCAGTGTCAGTTCGGCGCTCGCGTTCGGTGATAGCGGTATGTTCGGCAGCGATGAATCTCAGTCGTCTGACTCTGGTACCTCAAAATGGGGTTGGAGATGGGGTAGCAAGAAGGCTAAAAAGAAGAAGAGGGCTAGCTCTTCTCAGGACAGATTCCCTACAGGTGCCGCTCTCGCTGCAGGTGCTCTAGGAACGGCTGCGTTGGCTTCTACTCGGGACAGAGACTCCAAAATACCCAGGCAGGCTGCGTCAAGCAGCTCCGGAAGCTTGCAGCATGTGGCCCCCGTGCCAACTAGCGATCCCACCCTTGTCGACGCGATCAAGGTGACGTCTCTGTCATCTACTGAACCCACACTCGTTCGACCTGGTCCCATTCCATTGCAGCAGCCGCAGCCCATGACTCCAGTCTCCCAGGCCGTCTATGCTACCCAGGGCGAGTCGATTCCCGCTTACACTGCTCCCGTGATCCCGACTGGCTTCCCTCCGACCTCCTACATCCCCTACAGACCTGAACAAATTCAGAATGTAGCTCTAGGCTTCGATCGGCCCCACCGCAGGAGCGATTCTTCCCCTGTGTTCCCTACAGAGCCTCTCGAAGGTGCGCCCGCAACCGGCGTGAAACGTCGCTCGACCGTCAAAGATCAGAGCTCGGTTCAGTTTAATCTGACCAAGGAGCAAGCTGATAAGGAGCGACGTGCGGATCACCTTGAGCAGTTGAAGCGCGAAGCGGAGCGGGCCGACGGCGTGCAACTCATTGATAAAGAATATGAACCGACCGTGCGGGATGATGATCGTCGTACAAAACGCTACGAAGAGCGTGGATACGATGACCGCAGACAAGAAGAATCTAGAGAGGATCGCTACGTCAAGGATTCCGGAAAGGACAAAGATTCATTCTCGCGGGTCGGTGCTGTCGCCGCGGGTGCAATAGGCGCCGCAGCTGCAGCTACCGTGCTATCTGGAAGAAGTTCGGTTGACGAATCATCCGAAACAAGCCAACGCCGCCGCGACGAGCGTCGACAGCAGCGCCGCGCGGAGCGTCGCCGTGGATCCGAGCCGGAGTCAACAGTGTCCAGCCGTAGTAAATCTGAGGCTGCCCAGGAAGTGAGTGATCATCCGCCCGAGGAACGCCAGCCGGAGCCTACCAAGCCGTCGAGTCCCAGTCGTAGTCCCAGTCGTAGTCCCCACAAATACGACGATTACGCCGAGTTCTTCGCGCCTGAAGAGTTGCGGTATAGCCCGGACACATACACGCGGCGCGCGCCTGCTTCGATGCCTACTATCGTTGAGATCGAACCTGCTAGTGAAAGACAATCTCGAGAAGCACTGCAGCAGCCAGAGGAGTCACATCTTGGATACCGAGATCTGCCATGGCCGGTACCTGTTTTGAAACTTATCGAGCCCACTCCTCCTCAAAGTCTGAGTGGATCCGTTAGAGATACTGCTTCACCCGTGGGTAATCCTCGGGATTTGCCTCCCCATGAAGAGGAGGAAGATGTGAAGTCGGCTGCACGACAAACGACTGGTTCCCGTGTCTCCTGGGGGGAGCACGAAACGCATGAGTACGAAGTTCCGTCCACGTCCTCCGAGCTCGAATCAGTGGACCATGAGACCACTAGGGAGCGACAGGAGGCTCATTCACCGGTACTCGAACAACGGAATGTGTCCTCCAGAAGCGTCGCGAATGACGTGGGGGCGGACATTGAATTTGCGGCAGCCTTGGCTGCTGCCACCGCAGCCGCAGGCTTTGATCCTGCCCTCGTGACGGAGGATCCAACATATCATACGCGGTGGTCTTCTCCTGACTCTCGAGGCGGGGTCGAATACGGACCTCCATGGGCTGAGGGCGAGTTAGAATCTCGGATTCCGCATGGCTTCGTTGAAGGCGAGGTTGAGACCCCTGAAGATGAAAAAGCCCAACCCAACAGAGTCGTCGAAGAGCAGCCACTGTACTCTGAACCCGAGCCTGTTTCACAGGAACCTGACAATCAACAACCGCCTGAGCCGCAGACTCGAATTTCGATCGCTCAGGGAGTAATTGACCGGCTCAACGAAGAGCAAGATGAGCGAGATGGCTCACGTAAAGCTCTATCCGACACGGAAAAGAATCCAAACTCTGGCAAGGAACGCCATGAATTTGATCTTCCTGCTCGAGACTCGTTTTCTATGCCCGGGGGATTCGAAACGGAAGAGTCCCGCTCGGAAACAAAGCGTGATGTGGACTCGCGCGAGGACGGCGAATTAGACCGCCGGTCCGTTGCTTCTGCCCCTGTATCTGGCGAATACGATTCCTCAACAAGATCAAGAAAATCCACACAAGACAGTGGTTACTTTGACGATGGTGAAGATGCCGCATCTGCCTCAGTGGAACCGGATGGCAGTGAGGGAAAGAAAAAGCGACGGAAGAGGCGCTCCAAGCGTGACAGTGACGCCTTTACCGACTCTGCCTCAGTAACATCCTCGCCCGCCAGAATTGGGCAGTCCAGCGAGAAACGCAAGAGCACGGATGACAAGGATAAGGAAAAAAGAACGGGAGGTTTCTTCAGCAGTATCTTTGGCTCGAGAGTTTCAGAGCCGGTAGAGAGCAAGAGGTCGTCCTCTGCAGATAGACCTTCGTCGCGTGAAGTCCAGTCGGAGGTCGGGCGTCGAGAGTATGAGGAGTCTCGCCGCCGGAGGAGGGAGGAACGGTCCTCCGCGCGAGATGAGGAGAGCGGTTCCGACAAGGAGAACAGTAAGGCTAGAGACATGGATGGTATTGACATTGAGAACTACAAGTCTAGCAGGCAACGGAGGGAAGAGAGACGGCGACGAAGATACGAGGACATTGTGGATTCGGGAAAATCGGGGGAGTATGAGAAGGTATAGTCATCTTTAACTGTTTTGATCTCATTTACTGTAACGTGTCTTGTGCTCGGTTTATGGCCCGAATATGGACCGATCAAGCAAGCGAGTCTTAACGCGCATATGCTAAAATGATTTACTCTTCGTTTCCTCTACGTATAGGATCGCAAAATATCGGAAGACAACGACGAGAACCAGTCTTTTTTAGCAGAAGGCCCCGAAATGCCAGTCCAGATAGGCGGCGGCGATAGAGAGTGTGGTGCTTCGGGGCGCGTTCCTTTTGCAGAGGGGGTCGTCACAGGGTTGGGTATAGGCGTACTAGAACAGCGGCCAAGAGGGCGCTCGACACCTCCCGAGGCCTCTGAGAAAATCTTGGATCCAGCCCCCAGGTCTCGAAGTAGGCCGGCCTCGCCCGAGCCTAATAGGCAAGAGGAAGCCAGTCAGGGCCAGTCGTCACGCCGATCATCCATATTGCGGTTGAAGGATTCTCCCACTGCGGTGCCGTTGCACTTCCGTCGCCCCCCAACCTCGCCTGGGACCAACCGTTCAGTTTCCGTCGGCGCCCCTACTGCACCGTCACCCGGGTCTCCAACAGCCCCTAAACGCCGACCAAACTCTACAGAGTTCAAGAGTTCGCGCGAGATCCGGCCCCTGTGGTTGGTAGAGCGCCACGGTCCCGGACACGGGGAGCATGAGCCCGAAGAACCGTTACCATCGCTGCCGTCAAGCAAGACCTCATCCGCGAATACCTCAGTGGAAGACCTCACAGCCCTTCAGGACGAGAGAAGCTGGGAGACGGTTGATCTGAGCCATCATGTCCATGAAACTCGGCGACCAAGCGGCATCGACGTGTCTCAGAGGAGAGGTGTCGAGCATGATGTCCTAGGTTCTCAGCAGGTGACACCTACCGCGGCAACTTTCGATCAGATACACCCGCATCCTCCTTCACGGAAAGAGAAGCTGAAATATGAGTTTCATTCTCCCTCGGAACTCCTTCAGGATCCGAGCCCTTACGGAGATGTACAGCCCTTTGACGTGGGAGATCTCCCTTCCGCCGAGGGCTCGGCCGTGGGTGTCAAGGATGCAAGTGCTGAGAATGAAGACAATCTAGAACGCGGGGCTGAGGCCGTGCCCTCTCGGCCTTCTACTCCACAAAATAATGTTATCGCGGCCCCAGAGGACACGGAGACAACCCCCACTCAAACCAGGACCGTGAACGCTTTCGAGGGCCCTGGATTCGCTGGGGTGGTGGATGCTGCTGTTGCAGCAGCTGTGAGCGGTCATCTCAGCATGCAGCCGGACGTTGTAGGTTTCGGCAAAGAAGGTCCGGTGGATCTTCCTGGTGATGTGGACAGAACTGATAAGTCAATTGCCGACCATGAACCAGAGGCAACTTCCGTCCCCACCCCCGGCACACCTCGTGACTTTGCAGCTGTTGTCGATGCAGCGGTAGCTGGAGCCACCGGCTCTACTGGCGAGAAGCCCGAGGTCGCTAGAGAAATTGAGCAACCGCTACCCACTGAAGAGTCAAAGGACGAAATAGTGGCTGCCGCAAGCGAACAGCAGGGACCCGAGGAACCGCGCCTGCAGCAGTCTCCTGAGATATTTGAGACTGTACTCCAAGTCTCACACGCGGACGAACAAGAGACATCACGTCCGACTCCGAACGACGAAAGTGTCCCGAGAGATGACAAGAGAAGAGATTCGGTGGATACAGTGGTTCCCCTAGCGGAAGAAACTTCCCAAGAAAAGGAGATGTTGGACGCCAGCGCGGTCGTCCCAGACGTAACTGGTGAAAACAAGGAGCTGCCGTCCGAGACAACGAAAGAGAATGCGAACGACAATGATCAGGCTACCTCTGAGGTGCCACCAGTGGACACTGACGAGCCATCTTCGTCTTCTGCCAAGAAAAAGAAGAAGAAGAATAAGAAGAAGCGTCAGAGCATGGACTCGAGCATCCAGGAGCCGACTACACCTGTCGATGACTCGACTGTCGATCAGGGGGAGGTGGAAATATCTACCGTTGAAGATGCACGGACTGATGCTGTCGAGTCGTCTGAGCCAGCACTAAAGGAGCAATTTCTTGATGAACAGCCTGCTAGTGCTGAAGCTACAGCTGCGCCCCAGCAGGAGCCGACAGAGGCTACAGTTGATATAGAACAAGTCACTGAAGCGACGGAGGTCAGCAAAGCACTTGAAGAGGAACCGGCACCTGCTGCACCCGAGGATACGCCTGCCGAGTCAACTGCTGAAACACCAGCTGAGGACCAAGCCGAGACGGTATCTTCCAAGAAGAAAAAGAAGAAGAACAAGGGCTCTGCTCCTGAGGAGAACACGCAGGACCCCGCTTCTACAGAGACTCAGGAACCATCCGCTGCAACTTCGCATGTCATCGCGGAAGAGCAGGTGGAACATACCTTGGAAACTACACAGCCTGCAGAGGGAGAATTTAAGCCTACCGAGGAGAGTACCATTGCTGTACCTGAGAATACTGTCGAGCCCGAACCGGTGCCCAGTGAAACGGAAGCTACTGAAGACCTTACATTTCACGATATTCCCGAACCGGAAGAATTTCAAGGCTCACAGGTAGAGGCTGATAACCAGGCTAAAGAGTTGCCGCACTCCGCCGAAGAGTTCCAAGCTGAGCCTACGCGCGCTCAAGAGCTTCCAGAGAATCCCGAGATCACTCACGAAATTGACGAGTTAAGTTCAGGCATAGATCCTTCAGGACAAGCAGCGAGTGACATGGTGAATGAGACGGCCTCTCCTGAGGTTTGGCATGACGCATTGGCTTCTTCTCCCGAGGATAAGAGCGCCGAAACTGAGAAAGCCGATCTTAGGTCTGATGAGCCACAGAACGAGGAGAGGGCACCCGAGTCCGAGATACAGGCTCTTGACAAAGAACAGGTTGAGATCCCAGAAAAGCCTGTCGAGGTGGATGCTCCTGCCCTCGCCAGAGACCTTCCCGAGGAACAACTAGAGCAATTCAAGGAGACGTCTACTCCCGTGTTTGATTCTCCTTCTACGGATCAGGTCGAAACAGCAGAATCTAGTATTCAGAACGAAGAGTCCACACCAACTACTGCGGAATCGGAAACTCCCTTGTCACGCAAAAACAGCAAAAAGAACAAAAAGAAGAACAAGCGGAAGAACACTGCCGAGACACCAGTTCAGAGTGAGGCTGTTGATACTGTAGAGCCTATTTCTTCAGTTGAGGGCGTGCCTGAACCTGGGCCTGAGCCTACAACCACTGCTGTGGAGGAACCTCAAGTAATGTCGCCGGATCAGGCTGTCGACGAGAATAAGGGAGAAGCTACGGACGTTCAGAAAGACGTCAAAGATGAACTCTTTTCCGAAAATACGGCCGAGGTAGCAAACGATTCCCAGCCAACTACAGTTGAAGAAATCCATCAGACAGCAGCGGAAGAGCCCGCGCCAGACGCGATAGCTGAAGTCATGAGCGAAGCACAGCCCGCTGCACCTCAAGACGCCCTGGAGACAGCACCGGAAGAGCACGTTGACGAGCACCCAAAAAAGAAAGGCAAGAAAAAGAAGAATCGCAAATCAGTCGATGTTTCCGAGTCCCAGCCTGAGTCTGAGGTAGAAGCCAAGACTGAAGAGCTCCGATCAGTTGAAGCTGCGGAGACCCCGCAGCATCAAATAAGCGGTGAGGTAGCGACCGTGGGCGACAGTGAGGTACCGCTGGAGTCAAGTAGCACAGAAGCATCTGCAGGGATTGAAGACGTTGCCCCCATTCCCGCAGCGGAAGCTGTTGAACTGAATTTAGCTGTGGAGAAAGATGAGGCCAATGGCGGGGAACCACATGTGTCCGAGCCCAGTGAGCAGCCAAATATCGAGATTGTGCCCGGCCCTGAACCGGGCCCCGAACCTGTGCCCGAAGCGGGGGAAACTGCACCGTCTGGCAAAAAGAGCAAGAAAAACAAGAAAAAGAAGCAGAGCCTGCCTGCGCCCGATGAAACGCCAGCCTCTGAGTCGTCAACTCCCGCAGACGCTGCAGATGGCAACGCGGATTTGCCCGTCGCAGCCGAAGATTCCTCCTTGAAAACGGATAAAGAGCCAGTGCGAGAGGAGCCGACTGAAAGCCAGCCGACCGTTGACTCAGTTGCTGAAACACCAGATCAAAGCATGGCGGAGGAAGCTGTCCCTATGACCGCCGCGCAGAAGAAGAAGGCGAAGAAAGATAAGAAGAAGAAACGTCAATCTGCTTTATTGGATGAGACACCTGCATCTGAGTCGATTGACGAAGCCGATACCAAGGATGTTACTTCTGAAGGTGGTCAGATGCGCCAGGAAGTGCCTTCTGAACCACAGTCATCCGAGCCTACTTTGGATGCCATTGAGCGCGCCGAAGCGACAGATGAGCACTCGCAAGAACAGCCCAAGGAGGATGTGTCTTTGCACACGGAACGCAGCTCCAACTCCGACGGAGAGTTCGTGATGGTACCGGAGCACGTGTCCTACGGATCCAATGAAAATACACCCCAGTCTGGTTCCACGGGATTCGATGTCATACAACTGTCCAGTGAATTGGAGAAGCAACCATTGACCCAGGATGGTGACTCGGGTGCAAACGAGGCAACTCCAACCGAAACACTTGTTGCTGCTGCTCAACTTGTCCAAGAAGAATCTACCCCCACGCCCGCATTGGAAGGCGGTGCTGCCGTCGAAGAAGCAGAGGCTGCAGAAAAGGGCACACCTGAAGATTCTCTAGACAAGATTATCGAGCACAATGAGCCTGCCGACGATAACCTGGCGACAAAAGAAGCTCAAGTCGAAGTAGTCAGCACAGAGAATCAAGAAACTGACCAAGGCGGAGCAGTTCCGGACGTCGAACCTGGCTCTGAAGGCTTGGTCCAGGATAATCAGCCTTCCGCTTCCTCGAAAAAAAAGGACAAGAAGAAAAAGAAGAAGCGCCAGTCGCTTGCCCTAGACGATGAACAGAGTCCCTCTACCAAGGAAGAACTAACTCCTGTGCCTTCGTCCGACCGTGTTCCGGAACCCTCGGCCGCTGATGAATCCTCGTCTACTCCCTCCGCCCCCGAAGAGCAGCAGAAGTCTCAGACAGACGCCACTGAAACTATTACAGAAACAGTTGCTGAGCCAGCATCACCTTTCGCTTCAGAAGCACCAGAGAACATTGCAGGAGCTCCTTTCAATGAAGCCACGCAAGAGCTCGCTGCAGATGAAACTCAGACTGCGGAGTCCACAGAGGAAGCTCAAACAGCAAAGTCCAAGAAGAAGGCAAAGAAAGACAAAAAGAAAAGAAAGTCTGTCTCCTTCGAGATTGAAGAGCCGTCGAGTCAGCAGAGCGAGCCTGGCCAACCTACCGCGAATTTTGGCGAAACAGTGACCCAGCATGAGGACCCTAAGCCTGAGGACGAACCTGCAGCACTGAAAGGCCTTGCTGAGGAGTTTCAACCCGCAGAAGCAGTCCCTGAGAGCCTGACTCAAGGTGGACCAGATATTGCTACTCAACCTGAGCAACCTGAGCAACCTGAGCAACCTGAGCAACCTGAGCAACCTGAGCCAACTGGCGAAGCTACAGAAGTTACAGAGCAAGACAAGCAGGTGACTGGGGTCCAAGGTTCAATGACAGAGGAACAGCCCGTTGTGGAAGAAACTGCAGCTCCGACGTTGGCTGATGAGGCTTCCCAATTACAAGAACAGAAGCTCTCATCAGAGGCCCTCTGGTCTGAAACTCAGGAGGAGGGTGTCAAGAGTGTCCAGGACGTTGAATCGTCAGACAAGAAGAAAGAGGAGCCCGCTGTCCGGCCTTCGCTAGAAGACAACGAGAGCATCAAGCCAGAGGCCTTGGCGGAACAAGCAGAGTCCGAGCCGCAAACGCCCATTGACGATGGTGAGCAAGTAGCCGGCCCCTCTAAGTCAAAGAAAAACAAGAAAAAGAAAAAGAGGAACACTCTGGAGTCAACCGAAGATATGCCAGTGATACCGCCTGAGGCTTCAAACGTTGAGCCGGTCGAATCGACACCGGTCCTTGAAACGGAAGAGACCCACGACACTGTCGAGCCTGACACTACAGTGTCTGAAACTGTGCACGAAGAGCAAACACCGCAAGAAGAGTTCAGCGGCTTTATGTCGGCAAAAGCAAAGAAAAAGGCAAAGAAAGACAAGAAGCGCCAGTCCAAGACCCTTGATAGCGCAAACGACGCCGCCATCACCGCCGAAACCGCCCCAGATTTCTCGGAGCAGGCGCCCTTGGCCACGTCAGGCGGCGAAGCGGATGGGCCAGATGCGATGTTCTCTCAAGAAACGAGTGAAGCCGTCTCTACCGAAGCGAAGCCCACGGAGCAATCGCCTGAGATGGCACTCTCGCCTGCTGAAGATGACGGTAAAGAAAATCAGTCCCGCGACACCGAACCACACGGCGGCAACGATAAAGATCTGACATGGACTGATCACATGGTATCTTCGCAGGTAGAGCAGCAACAAGCAGCGCCTTTCGACCGTCCGTCCCAACCCGCGCTTGAAGTCGAGCCAACTTCCATCGGCGAAGCAGCAACATCTATTGATGTTGAACAACGTGAAAACAACGCAGACGATGGGTTAGAGCGATCTGGTGAAGAAGGTACGACAGTCAAGAACGAGATTGTGGTTGAGGGCCCCGAGATGCGGTATGAGGGCCTACTTGATATTCCACAAGAAGAGAAGGGAGAGGCATCGATACAAGGAGAAGATGCGGTTCAGGTCAAGAGCAACGCACAAGTGGAGGAATCGGTGAAAGCAACGGTTGAAGGAACACCTGAAGATTCCTTGAGCCAGGAACAGGTTCCAGAATCCGCGCCAGATGGCGGAGATGCCTCAACTAAGGATCAGTCCACTGACGTTGAGGTCAACGATTCTTCAAAGTCAGAGGATGTCCTTGAGCTGGAGAACGAAGAGTTGCCATTGCCAATCTCAGGAAAGAAGAAGAAGAAAGACAAGAAGAAAAAGAAGGCGCAACAGGAGACAAAGACCGATGAGACGTTGCAGGAGCCTCTGGTAGATGCTGTGCAAGAAAAATCGCTAACAAGCCATGCACTGACTGATATCGCGGTACCTGTTGCCGAGACTCAGGCAGACCCAGTTACTGAGCCGTCGCATGAGCTTTCCCACCCACAGAATCCAACTGAAACTGCAGTTGAGGTCAAAGACATGGAGGAGAGTCTAGAGGTGCAACAAGAGGTAACGCCTGCGGAGGACGGCTTTGAGGAGGCACCGACTCTCTCACGGAAGAAAAGCAAGAAGGACAAGAAGAGAGAGCGCCTTGCTCAAAGGGCTGCCGTTGAGTCACGTGAAAATGAATCAAAGGAGGAACAGCTGGCGAGTGAAGAGCACCTCGTTCCACCTTCGGATGCTCAGCCAGCCGAGCTCGCGACTCCTGTATCCACCCAAGCACTGGAAATAGAAATACCTTCCGAGACGACGGCAGACACTGGCGAAGGGGAACTGCGTTCGAGCGCGGTTCAATCCCCTGTTCCGGTGGAAGACAACTTAAAGGACATAGAAACTTCTGAAAGTCAGACAGTTGAGAGCCTCCAATCATTACAGGCTCCCAACCAGGCGTTCGAGCGAGAAATTCTGCTAAATGAGGATGCGGCAACGGCTCCAGAGGAACTACCTGCTGTGGAGAAGCCAGTGCTTGATGCTGATACAGCTACGGAACCAGTAATTGAAGAACCAGCCCTGAGTCGTAAGAACTCAAAGAAGAAGGCGAAGAAGGCAAAGAAGCGAGCTCAAGAACAGCAAGGAGAGGAAACAACTCCCGCCCCTGCCGAGCTTGGAGAATCCAGCATTGTGGAGACTACGCCCACCATACCAAGCGAGCCTGGCCCAGAGGAGAATTCTGGTGATGTTTCTGAGGCGAACATTTCGAAAGAGCAGAGGACACCACTTGAACATTCTGAGCAGTTGGCTCCATCGGACGCCGCTCGACCTCAAGAGACTCTTGAGCAGACTCCGGATGTGAGCAACCAAACTGAGGATGTGTTATCTATAGAGCAGGAAAAAGAGGGCAATTTCCAGGCCGAACCAAGCCAAGGCCTTGAAATTAGAAACCTTCAAGTTGCCGAGTATTCCATCGAGAGTCAGCCTGAACCCACAGCAGCTGTTGCGAGAAAGTTGTCCAAGAAAGAGAAAAGAAAGGCCAAAAAGAAATCTGCCAAGGATGCCATCGAGCCTGCAGACGAGCCGGAGCCGCAAAATCCAACAGATTCTATCGGGGCATCCGTTTCTAACACGGACCAAGCCAAGATTGACCAAGATCCAGTCGTGACGGTTGCCTCCGACAACCAAATGGTCGAGGTGGTCTCACGATCACTTGAGGTCGAGCCTGGAGATCCGGAGGTGCACCAAGGTGCAGCTGACGAGGATGACTGGCCTGCAATAGACTGGGAGAAAGGTAAAGTCGAAATCAAAGAACAGACGCCGGTTTCATCACCTGAGGCTCATGCAGTTCCTTTTGAGCCAGCCATTGCAGAATTCGACGAATCTGCCATCCCAGAGGGATTGCTTAGACAACAAAGTCAATCGCGTGAAGAGCAGCTAGGGGGAGGCAATGACGGAAGTGCACACCATAGAGGGGCCGACGAAACAGAAGCTGCTCCGCGAGAAGGCGCGAGATTGTTAGAGCCTTCTGCGGTGATCGAGACGGAGCAGTCTGCCGAACTGAAAGCAGAACCTGTAAGTTCGCAAGTGGCTTCTAATACGATCCAAGAGAAAGCTGTGCAGCATCCCGAGAACGATTTGGCATGGGATCAAGCAAAGAGCGTGACGGAAGGGGTGCCGCCTAAGCAAAGCAAAGTTGCGAGCATCTTCCCAAATCTTGAGCGCGGATCCTTTCGACGTCCTGGTCCGGGCCAAGAATTGACGTCGGTAAAAGATAGGGCTGAGGATGAGACTATTGACCAAAATGCGGATAACAACAGCGCAATCCAGGTCTCGGAGGCGCCTATCCCGGCCGGCGAGCCGGAAGAGAGCCATTTACAGGGTCAGCAAGATAAGACAAGTCCAGAGCCAACGACTACGGTTTCTACACGGGATCTATCTCTGGAAGAGCCTACGAAGATGCAGGGCACAAGCGACACCCCAGTTAACCTTGCTGTCGACGTTGAGTTTGGCCCCCCATACAATGTTTCTGTGATCTCCGATGGTCCAGAGAACGAAGCGAAGTCTATTGAAATCGAATGGAAGGAGGCCGACGCTACGCGGACCCTAGAAGTTGAAACACCCCTGTACGCACCGTTGCCTGTGCATGAACAGAAGTCATCCCTTGTCAGCCAGACTTCTCCCGTTGAAATGGACCCGGATGAGCGGATTCCGAGAAATGATTCTTCCTGTGGGCTTCGTCGCAGCCCGTCAATTCATGGGCGACACAATCACCCGCCGCTAACATGGTCGCTGGAGGATAAACCAATCACCAAGGCAGTGACACCGCCCCTGGCGACGACGTCTTTATTTGGAGGACCAACAGTGGCCACTGCGGATGTAGGCTCACCTCCACGTACTCCATTACAACCCATCGCGGAAAAAGAGCCAGAGGATCGAGTGGAGCAAGCGAGCGGATTCAGATCCATGGTTTCCGAACACGGGACGCCCCGTCTGGAGATGAAGCCCGAACATGTTCTTCCACGTCCCGAAACTCCAATTAGAAAGTTTACAGATAATGCATTGGCACGTCAGACATGGCCTGTAGCGGACAACGACAAGCTCAAAAGCTCAGAAGACGAGGATGCGGGACTCGCTGTCAAGAAACGACGGCCAGGTAACGAATGGCCTGCAGAAGTACTCAAAACTCCGGACCAAGGAATGCCCATTTTGAGACCCAGCAGCGTCAGCAGCCTCAAAAGCGTGCAGAGCAATCACAGTGTGGCTGGTGGGCAGCGATCGCTACGACGCACCAGTCGCAACACCAGCGGGGATTTGCGGGCAGCTAGCCAGGCACAGGAAAGCCACAGTCCCCAGCCACACGATACGCCCCAGCCTCCTCAGCCCCCACCCTCCGATCTCAACATCGAGCGCATTGCTTCGTCTTCCTCCTACGACCCCGTCACGGACAAGGGCAAGCGCCCCATACGAGCCATGACGGACGTCTATGTAAGTGTTTCTTAATTCAATTCTGTTATCTCTTTTAATAGATGAGATTATTGTTAGCCTTCCGATACTAATTGATCCCCATTTAGGAGGGATGGGGAGAGACGCCCAGCTCGCCTCGGTCGCCGAGCCGACCGCCCAGTATCCGTCATCGTCGAAGTATGCAACACCTCCAAGAACTTGAAGCTCGTCTCGATCAACTCATCTCCGAAAATCGACTCCTCATTGCCGCTCGTGAAGCCGCCGAGGATAAACTTCGAAATGCTAGTGTCGCCCGTCGGAAGAGCGACCATACACTCAACGAGCGCAGTGCCGACCTACGGGACAGAGAAGCCGAGGTGGAGAACCTGAAAAGTTCCGTGGAATGGCTTCAAAAGGAAGTAACCCGTCTAACAGAAGAGAACGAAGGGCTTGCTACGACGAACTCCAACCTGACCGCCGCCCATGCCAGGGAAATTGAGTCGGTGCGCGAATCGTCATCTCTCCAACTGGATGATTTGCGCTCAAGATATGAGCAGCTCTCCACGGAAGTACAGAACACAGTGCGGCATGAAATTGAGACTGCGCTGGCGCGAAAGGATCAAGAACTGCGACGGCTGAGGGAAGAACTTGAGACCGCTCGGGATAAGGTGTCACAGTTACAACAACAAATTGCGGCATCCTTGCATGATAACGTTCTCGTCTTCCGCGATGAGGATTACTTTGACGCTGCTTGTCAAAAACTGTGTGGGCATGTGCAACAATGGGTGTTGCGGTTCTCCAAACACTCCGACCATCGACGATGCCGCAAACTTGCTGAGATACAAGATGAGAAGATTGCGGACCGCTTCGACAATGCGATCCTGGACGGCTACGATACAGATAGCTACCTCGCCGACCGCGTTCGTCGCCGCGATGTCTTCATGTCTGTGGTGATGACTATGGTGTGGGAATTTGTGTTCACGCGCTATTTATTTGGCATGGATCGTGAGCAGCGCCAGAAACTCAAGTCCCTGGAAAAGCAGCTGAGCGAGGTTGGTCCACGGAGCGCTGTCCATCGTTGGCGCGCGATTACTCTTACCCTCCTGTCGAAGCGCCCGGCATTTGCTCGTCAGCGTGAAAGCGACACAGAAGCGGTTGCATTGGAAATCTTTGAGACTCTGTCACGTCTCCTCCCACCCCCAAGCCATGTTGAAGCGCAGCTCTTGGAGTCTCTACGCAAGGTTCTGCGGGTTGCAGTCAACCTGTCAATTGAGATGCGCACGCAGCTGGCCGAATACATTATGCTGCCGCCACTCCAACCTGAATACGACACAAATGGAGACCTGGCACGGCAGGTCTATTTCAACGCCTCGTTGATGAACGAACGCAGCGGGGAGACAACGTCAAATGAGGAGCTGGAGTCGCAGCAAGCAGTCGTCCGGGTGGTCTTGTTCCCGCTAGTGGTAAAGAAGGGCAACGACACAGGCGAGGGCGAAGATGAAGTAGTTGTCTGCCCTGCTCAGGTGCTTGTCGCTCGACCCGACAAGGATCCAAGGGCCAGCAAAATCTTCAGCAGCGACCGCATGTCCCTGGACGGAACCAAGTCTGTTCACAGCGTCGCTCCATCATCGACCATGGATATCAGCAACGTGATCTGAGGCGTCACACTCTGGTCACGACTTGTTGATGCTGACCTTCATGGTTTGATGTATGCTGAAGGGTCTCGGCTAATCTTCATATTTTCTTCTTTCTGTTCTGGTATGGTAATTGGCAATGGTATCCGGAGGCGTCAGGGTCAAATGGGAAACTGGATCTATACAAGGTCCGTTACGAAATGGTAATGGATAATCATGGAGGCTTGAGGTTCCCCTGTGTTCCTTTTTACGAATATGCTTACGATGCTACGGCCTCTAGCTTCTGGTATTGTTGATGATGTATATGCTGTTCTTTATTTGTTGCTATCTTTTCGGATCTTGTTCAAAAGAAGATCTTTGTGGTATGTATCTTTAAATAGATGATTATGATGACTGATGACTAATAAAATTCGTGGATGACAGCGTGGAGATCATTGACCATCGCAAGTTCTTTTGTTACTTAACTCGTGAATCTTCGAGGGGGGTATGTGCGGCATGCTTCACAAGGTGAAACGCATGATTTAGTTACAGTATTGAAGCCGGTTATCATTGGAAAGAAGAAGGATACAGCTACAGACATCAAGCAGACTGTACCTCCTCTGTAACTTTGTACGGATCGGCGGAAGCTTCAAGTAGGTTGCAAGACCGCCAATCAAATCGCTCGAATGATCTCATCGTCATCGTCGGCCTGAGGCACTCCGCCATCTCATCCGCCGCCGCCTGCTGTGCCTCTCTACTTGCTTTTCTTCTCAATCATCGCCCTCCCTCGTACAGTTAGCCTTTTGTGACCCTTGAATCATTTAGCATTACACTCCCACTGGCACTACTTTGTGTTCTCAATGACAAAGTCCCCTTAGTTTCTGTACTGCTCCATGTTCTACGGCACTGCGCCACAGGCGTCATCCCCTACGACTTCTTTACAGGACAATTGTGCTCGTGAATTCTTGTTCGGAGCTCCGATGAATTATCAGAAGGCATGTAGGTTGCTGCAACGATAAAGCTGCTGTAACTCTGTGGATCTAGCCAGAGTTCGGTTTCCTTCCTGTCCCCGTCATCATTGACCACTTCGCCTGCGATTCCAACCAAGGGTTTCCACGCCGCCATAATATTCGACTGAAAGAGATCCCTTGACTCACCATGCCTTCCGTCAAGTCGTCGCTAAGCAATGGTCCTCAGACCGAGATGGCTGCGGCGACAGGAGCTTATGGGGCCTACGAGACATCAGCCCCACAGACCCATCAGGACACCGCATCGGAGGGTCGACCTGCGACGAACAAGCCGAAGCGGAGAAAGAACCGTCATCGAAAGCGTCGCAATCGCCGGCAGTCCTTTCTTGCACCTGAAGAATCCAATACTGCGACTGCGGTCTCGGGTGCTGAGGAGGCCATGATAGCGGGGGATCAGCCCCATTCTCGACCGGCGCTTCCATTCTACAATCTGGGAAGGGATTTGAGCAGTACAAGCTTGGAGAGTGAGGCTCTGCTGGATCATCGGTAAGTTTAATTTCCACTTGGGGGAATATCGCGTCATTTTCCACATCGCTCATATGCGCCTTCGTCAATCTATGCAGAAATCAACCCATGATGCGCCCACGGAGAGAAAGCCGGCTGGCACAGTCCTTTCGACCTGGATCCATGACGATTCCGCCTCGTTCTACCGATTTAGCTTCTCGCGGTACACCCACCGGTACCAGGGCCTTCAATGCTGGAGACGACAGCGATGGATCAGAGGGAATAGATGATCATACGCCGTTGATACGACCAACTCCAGGCCCGAATAATAACAGATCCTGGTACGGAACGGATGCCAAGGCAAGCCCATTTGCATCGCGCCAGCGACGTGCCTCTATGCAGTCAAATTCGTCCCGATGCTCTCCTCGCGGTCTGGCGAATTCTGACCCTGATCGAGATTATGACATCAATAACCCTCCTTCCGTCCCGAGCTCACCGAAGCTGGGAGGTGAGATGAACTACGACGATGCCGTGGTCACGGGTGCAGACTTTGACTTTGCTCTCGCCAAATCGATTGATAATCGCAATCAGGCGGGCTCTCGGCCCAATGACATGGTAATTGACGTCGACGGTCGTTCCACTCAACGGAAGCCTTCTACCCAGTCCTCCCCCAGTTCACCACACCTTGCGCCTCACGAGGCTCTTCGTCGGCGCCGCACTGTCGCATTACCGGTAGAGGAGGATGTCTGTTTTCCCATCGAAGTGGCCTCAGAGCTCGCCGAGGAGGATGCGCGGAGAACGTCCCGCGAGGACGCTCGGCGGCGGCGGAGAACCAAGGAATGGCCGGATCTGTCTGTGCTGGAAGAATGGAGTCGGGAGGAGAAGGAGGAACGGACTGGCGTGCTTCGCGCCAAAAAGATCAGCGAGCCCGTGCTCATTGAGGGTCGGCTGAGACCTCAGTACCGAGTGTGGCGGCGCGAAGAAGACGAGGCGCCATATCGATTCACTTATTTTAACGAGGAGTTTCAGAGTACCATTCATGCCCAAAGCATATCCGAGCTGGTGCAGCCCGGTGGTAGTTTCCGGGAGTTATTCATCCCTGATCCTCCGGAACTGGAGGATTCGTCTGATGAGGAGGACTTTGAGGATGAAAACGCTCACAGTGAGCATTTCACCGACTCCAACCACAATGACCAGGACAACGTCAAGGCGGAAGACCCCAGGGCGGCACAGGCCGGTTTACACAATGGGAACGCTGCCACTGGCCCAAAGATGTCCATAATCAGCGAAGGCGTGTCCGAGGCACGCACGTCTGTTGAAGCCTCGCCGGCGCGCAAGGGCTCACCACCGAAGCCAAAGAAATATGGGCCTCGTCCGACCTTCTGGCTGGATGTTCTCTCACCGACCGATGCGGAAATGCGCGTGATCGCCAAGGCGTTTGGGATCCACGCCCTGACGGCCGAGGATATCATGATGCAGGAGGCGCGTGAGAAGGTTGAGCTATTTCGAAGCTACTACTTTGTCAACTACAGGACCTTTGAGCAGGATCCCAACAGCGAGAATTACTTGCAGCCTGTGAACATGTACATCGTCGTTTTCCGGGAGGGGATATTGAGCTTCCATTTCTCGCAGACGCCTCACCCGGCGAACGTCCGCCGGCGTATCCGCCAGTTGATGGATTATCTGATCCTCAGTTCCGACTGGATCTCATATGCGCTGATCGATGACATCACGGATGTTTTTGGTCCGCTGATCCAGTCTATTGAGGATGAAGTAGACGAGATCGATGAGAAGATCATGAAGATGCACTCTCCTGGGCGGCCCATGGATCCCAGCAATAACAACCCTCCCAACCGCCGCGAGGATGAGAACGATGAGCCAGAGCCACCCGCTCCTGGCGAGATGCTGCGACGCGTGGGAGAATGCCGCAAGAAAGTCATGGGGATGTACCGATTGCTGAGCAACAAGGCAGACGTTGTGAAGGGGTTCGCTAAGCGATGCAATGAGCATTGGGAAGTAGCGCCGAAATCCGAGATTGGGCTGTATTTGGGAGATATCCAAGATCACATTATGACTATGACCAGCAGCTTGACCTACTACGAGACGTGAGTCCTTCCCAGCGAGTGCGTTGTGTCCGGAGATGGAGCCAGCTAACCGGTGCCACAGGCTTCTGTCACGAGCGCATTCGAACTATCTAGCCCAGATCAACATCTTGATGAATGAACGACAAGAGCAGACAGCAGATGTTCTTGGGAAGCTTACCGTCCTCGGAACCATTGTGCTTCCCATGAACATCATCTGCGGTATGTGGGGGATGAACGTCAAGGTTCCCGGTCAAGACATAGATAATTTGTGGTGGTTTTGGTCAAGTAAGGACTCCTTGCATCATCCTCTCTCTCTGGGGAATTTACAGAGAATGGTCATATGAACTGACACTGCCTTGAATAGTTACTGGAGGACTGATCCTCTTCGCCTTTGCTTCCTTCCTGATTGCAAAGCGAGTCTACAAGATCGTCTAGGTGGCGATGTTACGACCGGCTCAGCGCAGAGCCCTGACGATGAAACATGATACCCTGAATGTGTATATTGTTCTCTGAAGAGAAGTCCTGGTATTTATCTCTGATTGCACAGGTCACTGTTGGATAGATGGGTGGTGGGTTTTGGTGTTGATGTGTGCTCTTTTGTATAGAAGGGCCCTCCGTTGTCCGCTTTGTTCCATGTTTCCATGTTTGGAGAAATGATTGCTTCATTATCAGCTACCCGTTTTATATAGTCTCTCTAGTCCAACACAAGGTTGTATACAAATCAAAACAATAATAATATGGCCGCTAATCTACTCCGGCGAGATCGGAATCTATTCCACCAATATGGTTATGGTCCCATTCTGCCAACAATCTCTGCAGATCGCAATATTGCCTGACTGGTCGGCGTCTGGATCACTTGAGCATCAGCAACTCCGCATAAAGCCGTTTCGACTAGTTTTCATAGCGGTATCGATTTAATCGAAATTTCCTGGGTCTTTCTTCCATCTTTGTGCCTTGGGTAAAGTTCTGGAAAAACTGGGCAGTCGGACGCAGATGAGGTCATGATGACTGCCGAGGTAATAATAATACCATCTCTTCGCCATCATCCTCCCTAAATCCGCGGGTAATTTTACATAATGGGGTCACATCCCTGTAACAGACCCCAGGGGCTGGACCGTCTCTCCCCCTCCACAACCGACTGCTTTGCTTCACTGTGGGATGTTGAGTGTGTCCCTCTCTTCTTTGTTGTGGTTCCTTTCCGTCCGTCGTAGTCATCTCGTGGAGGCTTCGTCATCATCGTCTTCATCGCATCGTTCATCATCTTCCGAACCCTTGAATCCGTCTGATCTCCTCCCTCTGTCTCTCAACCTGTCGCTTTCCAAATCCCCTCAAACTACGCCCCTTGTCTCTCCGCCATTCCGATCGGTGACGAGAGACGGGACCTCCGGCCTTTTCCACGCTATCTAGCCTACCTACCTTAGGTACACTAGACTCCCTTCAGCCATTGTTCCTTGACGTGGGTGGCTACTATTGGATCTCGTCTCTTCCC